GGGGGGTAGAGGCTTCTAAACTCCATTATCTCCGTGATTTGGGTGGGTATTACCTATGCAGCAGGGAAATGCTTCCTTCATGTTGGCGTGCACCGGTAATGTGATTCCGGCCCGGACTGGAGCGGGGTTTGAGTCCGGTTTCCCGGTCCGTTCCCGGTTGGTACACCTGACCATTGGCGCCGCTGGGACAGGCAATGTCCCTGCCACGCACCTGTGACCCAAGACTCATGACCAAGGACCCAGGTTATGCTGTCTTTCTCTCCTAGTTGTCTTCTTCTCCCTGGCCAGGTTGGAAGTAGTGCAACGTTTCCCGCAAACTACAGTTGCACACTTAGGACTTGCACCACGACACCCAACTGTTGATTCTTCGACGAGTGTTTCTGAGTTCTGATCATCCACCTCAACATCGCCAACCCGCTGACTCCCAATGGAGAAATCCAATGCGGTAGAGTCCGGTGACTCCGGTCATAGCTCTGACATGCCTGACAAAACACAAAGCAATGCGGGCTCGCCGATCGTCGGAGAGTCCTTCCCGCTCATGGATCTTGAGAGGAACGTGGTAGGCTGGGAGTCCGAGACAGATCCGTTGAATCCCAGGTATTCATTCCTAAGCAGTATTCATTCCTAAGCACATCAACTATCTTTCCGTGTGATGAGAGGAGAGTTCCAATGCTGACCCATTACTACCAAGGAACTGGTCAAACTGGAAAAAAACCTACTTAATGATACTCATGGGAATCATATCAACCCTAAGGTGAGCGAAAGAAGGACGACCCACTTCATCATGCGATTTCTTACTCTCCTTTAGCCCCCTAGCCTCGTCTCTGGTCGCCCCGGCCATACCTCTCACACTGGAAGAACTCAACGAGACGTCCCTGGTACTGGGCTCGTTCATGGTCACGATCTACATCCTGGGATTTGCCGTCGGACCTCTGTTCCTCGGACCCCTGAGCGAGCTGTACGGGCGCTATCCCGTAGTCATCTTGTCGACTTGGACCTTCAACGCCTGGGTCTTGGGAAGTGCCTTGGCACCCAACATGTCAGGGCTCATCGTGATGCGCTTTCTTGCAGGCGTCGGAGGCTCGGGTGTCATGACTCTGGCTCCCGCCATCATTGCGGATGTGTACCCGGTCGAACAGAGGGCCGCTACGACCTCCTTGATCGTCATGGCCCAGTCGGTCGGGCCGGCGCGTAAGGACTTTCCTACCTGGACTGGTTTCCGCCTTTGTTCGTGGGGTTTCGACGTCATCGGAGATGTGCTGACTTGTTTTCCGGGACCCCCGTACAGTTGGCCCGATATGTGGCGGATTCATTGCCCAGGAACTGGGTTGGCGTTGGGTAAGGGTTTCCAAGGTTCATTCATCTTCCTGTTCTTGTGCTCCCAAGCTAACGGGATGTAAAGACCTACTGGGTTCTGTTAATCGCTTCGGCTTCCGTCACCGTATTGATGACCTTCTTCATGCACGAGTCGTATGCTCCCAGACTGCTCGAGAAAAAGGCCCAACGGTTGCGAAAAGAGACTGGCCGAGATGACCTTCGCACGGCGTTGGACCAAAATTTAACTAGCACGCAGCTTCTGGCCAGAAGCATCATCAGACCTACTCAGGCACGTCTAAATCCATTCCCCCCCTTCTCTTCCTACCCCCCCCCGGGGGACTTGGCGTCACTGACCAGAATGCAGCTGTTGACAATGTCACCCATTGTCATTCTTATTTGTTCATATGTGTCGACGATTTATGGCTTCATGTACCTCTGGTTTACCACAATCCCAACTGTCTTCCAGGAGACGTATGGGTGGCCGACCAGTTACGTTGGACTTGCATATACCCCGAGTGAGCATATCAGTTCCCCTGATCTCGTGATTTCGAGCTGGCCGTTCTTTTGCTTATCTTGACCCATCGCTCCACAGTGGCCGTAGGAATGATTGTAAGTCGCTTTACCGCATCCTTCCCCCCCCTCCCCCTTCTCTTTTCCCCCCCTGTCCTTGCGTCCGGACCTGACTTGTCGCAGCTGTCTCTATTCCTCATCATGAAAACAAACGACGCCACTGTGATCAAACTCACGAAGAAGAACAACAACGTTTACGAGCGTAAGGCGGACTCCCGATCCCCGAGCTGTAAATCCGTGCATCTGCTGATAGGAATTCCATGCAAGCCGAGATGCGGCTTCCTGCAAGTATTTACTACGCGGCTTTTGTCCCCGTCTCGCTCTTTTGGTACGGCTGGGCCGTTGAAAAAAAAGCACACTGGTAAGAGTCGGAAGCAACCTCCCATGGCGTTCATCGCCCCGTCATCCCGCGTGGAACTGACGAGGTTTGGTTTTGGTTTTGATAGGGCTGTGACTGTCGTCGGTATGCTTCCTCTCGGCTTCGGTATGGTCGGCATCTTCCTGCCTTGCCAGACGTATCTAGTGGATGCGTTTGGCATCTACTCTGCCTCCGCCGTTGCGGCCTCTAGGACCTTCATGTCCTTCTTCGGAGCTTTTTTCCCGTTGGCAGGGCCCCCATTATACGAGGCGCTCGGAGCTGGTGTCGGAAACACCGTTTTAGGACTCATCGCTCTCGTGATGACGCCGATTCCCATGCTTCTTTATAAGTGAGTGCTCCGTGAAATGCCCATGGAGCGGTAGATACGACGGAGCTAATAATGACCAGGTACGGCGGCATGATACGTCGGCGGTATCCTGTCAAACTGTGACTTGAGCTCGGTGATACGGTCTGTGGTGCCAAACATGGATGCAAAGTCTTGCAGGATCATAGGATAGAAACTTGGAAGCGGATAGATCAAAATAGTAAGTGGATTGATTGACTTTAACATGCTAGAGATAGAAGTAGCCGAATACGTCCTATGGCTGAGAAGTACGAAGTCATATAACATAATGAATCCCAAGGGCAAGCCGAGAATCTCATTGTTCTTCCAGGCTTCTTTTACTGTTGACTTCACGAATACGTACGAATAGTAGCAGGGATTCGTAGTGAGTATCACTCTTTCTCCTCGACAAGATCCTCATGGACGTTCACCCCCCTTTTTCAAGGTACGTATCTTTATCTTTCATTTCGGAGTATTATTACTCCATCTAATTACGAAGTACACGTACTGAGTACCTATCCGCAGAGATTCACCGGGGAAAGCTGGTAAGGGAGTAATTCACGTGATACAGGTCGTTGAAAAAGATAAGAAACAGTCAATGCCGGTAGATATGACGTATTATAGTCTCCGAACCTCCGAGAAACAACCCCTCATTCATCTTAGAAATTGCCCAAGCAAGGTGGGGTAACAATGCACGATGGGATGAGCATCGGCATTGAGTCTTGCTCGTTCTGATTATTAGCTCAGTACAAGTGGTGCACTGTCTGTCGACCACAAAAAGGGCCATCTTTCTCAAGGTGGTGGTACTATTATTTTCAACCTGCAGACTGAGCGACACAAGCCTTCCTACTACCTACCTACCTTACGCACGACTCGTCCATCAAGGTTCTCACTGGTAGTTAGATACTTCAGGAACAACGACGACCAACAACCTGGAAGTTGCATCATGTCCACCGTCGGAAAGGTACGTACATGTTCTGTCTTGTCCGTGCAAGAATCTCTCTTTCAATTCCTTCCTGCCGTGTCCGTGGATTGCGGGGTAGCTTGTCAAGAATTCCATCTTCTGTCTGCACAAGCGGGAAGAATACACGGCCACACCAACCCTCTCTATTGGGCTGGCCATGCCCATGAGCATTGGGCTGGGCTAACTATTTGTCGCAATATATAGACCATTACTTGCAAGGCCGCCGTCGCCTGGGAGGCCGCTAAGGAGCTGAGCATCGAGGATATCGAGGTCGCTCCTCCCAAGGCCCACGAGGTCCGCATCCAGATCTATTACACCGGAGTCTGCCACACAGGTCAGTCGTCTCGTCTTCCGCTCTCCAGACTTTTCTCGGGTTCCTCGACCACGGATATCACAAGTCGAAACGGGATTGTCGACAAATACATCTCGGCCGGCCCGGAATCGTGGAGACCTAGTCGCTGATACTTTCGTGCCCCGCAGATGCCTACACCCTCTCCGGCAAAGACCCCGAGGGCGGCTTCCCCGTGGTTCTGGGTCATGAGGGCGCCGGTATTGTCGAGTCCGTCGGCGAGGGCGTCACCAATGTAAAGCCTGGCGACCATGTCGTCGCGCTCTAGTACGTGTGCTGCCGAACCGATCAAAGCTCCCCCAATGTCCCCCTAAGCCGAGAGAGAACGGAAGAGAAATACGTGTATCGTGACAACGTCTAACATCATACCCCACCCTACGTACAGCACACCCGAGTGCAAGGAATGCAAGTTCTGCAAGTCCGGCAAGACCAACCTCTGCGGCAAGATCCGTGCGACCCAGGGCAAGGGCGTCATGCCCGACGGCACGAGCCGGTTCCGTGCTCGCGGCAAGGATCTCCTGCACTTCATGGGCACCTCCACCTTCTCCCAGTACACCGTCGTCGCCGACATCTCCGTCGTCGCCGTCCAGCCCGAAGCCCCGATGGACAGGACCTGCCTGCTCGGCTGCGGCATCACCACCGGCTACGGCGCCGCCCGCATCACCGCCAAGGTCTCCGAGGGCGACAGCATCGCCATCTTCGGCGCCGGCTGCGTCGGCCTGTCGGTCATCCAGGGTGCCGTGGCCAACAAGGCGGGCCGCATCATCGTCGTGGACGTCAACCCCGGCAAGGAGGAGTGGGCACGCAAGTTCGGCGCCACCGACTTCGTCAACCCCAACGAGCTGAAGGGTCAGTCCATCGTCGAGAGGCTCATTGAGATGACCGACGGCGGTTGCGACTACACGTTCGACTGCACCGGCAACGTCAACGTCATGCGCGCCGCCCTCGAGGCCTGCCACAAGGGTTGGGGCGAGAGCATTATCATTGGCGTGGCTGCCGCTGGCCAGGAGATCAGCACCAGGCGTATGTTCCTATTGCCCCCCTCTCCAATTTCCTGTCCATTGTCCCCTTTACCCCTGTCGTGCAGGATAGAAATGACTGACGAGGTGGACTGGTCCGTCATAGCATTCCAACTGGTGACTGGCCGTGTGTGGAAGGGCTGCGCCTTTGGCGGTGTCAAGGGTCGCACCCAGCTGCCGGGCCTGGTGTCGGATTACCTGGACGGTGCGCTTAAGGTGGACGAGTTCATCACCCACCGCAAGACTCTACCGCAGATCAATGACGCCTTCGAGGTGATGAAGTCGGGTGACTGCATCCGGGCCGTCGTCGACATGCGGGATCTTAGCGCTTGAGGAAGTTCACCCGCCGTCTAAATCGATTTCCCAGCAAGCAAAATTATCCAAGGCGTAATATTTGGGGCAGTAGGCAAAAGTATGAAAGGCGACGCATGGCGGATGAAGTTGTGATGAAGATGACGATGATCAAGAAGATGACGGAAGGTGCATCATGGGTACTTGGATGAAGTTCATGGGAAATAAAAAAAGAGGTTGAGCATGAATGCATGAATGATGGTTTATTTGTTGATTGGTGAGCGGCGTAGGGTCGCCGAATCTACCTACCTAGGTAAGTTGGACGATCCGAAGACAGGGTGTCTGAGCCGCTTTAGCCAAGAACAGCGAGGGTTGACCTCGCATTTTCACCACGATGATGTCTCAATAACGAGATAGGGGCGTATATGCTGCGTGCTGAGTTCATACCCGCGTCCTCGCTTTAGCCGCCACTACGACAACTGCCGCCATGGAAACTGGGTAGTCGATGAGCATCTCGTTTTATCGTCCCACCTATTACTCCGTAAAGAGAAATAAGAAAAGGAGAACGTTTCGGAGAGGACAAGAATATGGATATGCAGCCACATGGCCAACGTAAGACGCCGTCGCTTTTTTTATTTTTTCGATAAAATAATCCCATGGCTTATGGATGATGTTGTCCGTTGGCTAACGATGCCGGCGCCTACCTAATAATAAGGTACTTCGTAGGAAGGGAAGAGGTTACACGGACACCGAGGCCGAATTGAATGAAACCGGCGTTACGCCGTTATGGGGTGGAACAAAGGGGTGCAACGATGCAATGCGTTACGCCAACCAAGTAAAAAAGGAAAGCAAATAAATAACAATCCAGACTCAGCATATGAGATACGGTTGAGGTCTATAATACGAGACTGCTGTGGTGGACAATTTTTTGCAACAGTTCTTTTGCGGCACATGAAAGGAATAGTAGGCAAAGTAGGCATGTCGTCATCTGCTTCTGATACCACGCGAGACATGTGATAAGCGATAAGAGATGAAACAATGAGAGTTCGACGCCCCATATGGACGGCTTATTACGGAGTCTCCTCCTTTGTTCGCTACCACTCTTCATTGTTGTCTTGGACGAGGCGTCCCTGAGTCAGTTCAGCAGCGTTCTCATTTCCGGCTTAGAAGAAAACGTCACATGACGTCTCCATAAGTAGCTGCTCTCGACCGGTCGGCGGCGGGGGCCGAACTCGCCGATGGAAGATGAATAAGGTAGCTGCAGGCGGGTTTCAACCATTGCCGGTTGATTACCTTATTGTGTCTTTCGCCACACCGGGAAAATTGCAAAGTCTCGTTCGGTTAACAAAGTCGATGATAGTGTTGAGTCAACTTGTAACTCCATACGAAAAGAGGTTGCGAGCTGGGGATTTTTTTTTTTTGAGATGGCGAATTTTCACTAATTGCCTTATATTAGAATGTGTCATTTATGCTTACACGTGGTCTAATCGTGGTCTAACCGTGGTCTAACCCACCTCCTTCCTCTTTAAACGTAATCATCGTATTCGTTCTAGGTCCTTCCGTTGTCCTATCTCGTCTTGGGTTACAGGGTATCAATCCGTTCTCGGAGCAAAGGGAGGAAGGAGGAAATGAAAACCAAGACGAACTCGACCAAGGACTTCTTTGCAACGCAACCCGCCTCTTTCCACCTTTCCAGCGGGTTACACGGGAAGGCCGACCCTTGTTTCATTGACCGCTTTCGGAATCTCGTCTTCTGGCCTCGTGCTTCCATTGATCTGCGTTCTGGAACCCAAAAGGAACATCACCAAATCTGTCTTGATTTTTTTCTCACATATTTTAGTCTTCATTTATCGTGTAAAGAAACCAGGCTCTGTCGACAAGCAATATCGAACAGGCAGGACTACTAGTCGGTTCCATCTGGTTCGACACTTCGATGATGCCCAGGGATTGTCGAAGATATTGGCGCCCCGTCCGTCTTGCAAGTACAAAAGTACGTACCTAGGTATTTACCTATCAGGAACGTGGGTGTACTCACCGAACCGTTACCTTGGTCGATTCGCGTACAACTTAATGAACTGCCCGTTGAGTGAGCCTATTCAGTGGGATACACAATCCAGAGTAGATGAACCCGAAAACGGGAAATTCCTTCAAGCCTCGACTCATGCCGTACAGTAGGTAGGTATTACAACGTAGTGTAGTGTACAGACAAGGCGTGTGAGGGTGCGGCACATTTCCTCGCCCACTTACCGGGGTACGAATATGTAGGTATGGAGTACTTCCAAGTGGCTGCCGCGGTCGTGTGCGTGATGGTTCGTGCGTGCATCCTCAGTATGTACAGCATGTCGACCATGTCGGTCTACGGTGGAGGCCGGCCTGTAACCGCACCGAACCCACACCGTCTCCATTTAGGCTTGCATTGGCGCCGTTACACCCTGCATCTCCCTCAGCTAAGTACCCACCCCCGGAACCTGCCTGCCCTGCTTGCTGTGTTGGCGCCTCTGGTGGGTTTGTCAGGCGCCTAGCTTGTGTTGCGTTATGTACCGCTGCCTTGCCTCCCGAGTGAATTGATCACCTGTTTAGGCCCCCCCCCCCTTTTAAAAACCACCTCTGCGCTTTGCCTTCTCACCACTTCTCTCACTTTTCTCCCCTTTTACCTTTCTACCTTCCACCGTCTTCCTTCTTGCTTTCCTCGACGAATCACCACCGGCTACCTTGTGATTCACCCCATCAACTCCCTCTCCCTCTCCTATATCTCTCTCCCTTACTCCTCCCGATCACCTAACTTCTCCTTACTTTAACCTCGACACCGCCTCTCTGCTCGTCTCTCACCGTTATTTGTCAACAACATCCGAGTCACCCGAAGCGAGAATTCTCACCACCGCGCTCTACCTTTTTCTCGCCACCACCCCACACGTTCACCGCCAATCTCCCCAATCTCCCCAATCTTCACCAGATACCATGCCTCCCAAGAAGATTCGCTGCTCTGCCACTCAGTGCCGCGAGCCGGCTCAGCGCATCGTCGGCGACTGCGGTTTCTGCCAGGGCCATTTCTGTGGCAGACACCGTCTTTTGGAGGATCACAAGTGCTCGGGTCTAGAAGACGTAAGCTCTTGCTCTTCCAGTTCTTCGCCCTCGCCCTCGCCCTCGCCCTCGCCCTCCTTCCTACCCCATCCGTCTCTCCACTGGCTTCTTGGCCTCGGCGACGTCCTACAGGCAGAGGGTCTCCTTGCTGACACTAGTATGTCTTCGTCTGCAACAGTGCAAGAAGGAGTCACACGAACGCAACGCAGCCCAGCTCGAAGCCGAGAGGACACATGTGATCAGGGGCGTATAGCGTAGCGGCCCTCTCGGCTGGGCACCCCTAGCCCCCTCCGAATACCGAGGGACAAGAAGCGTTTTCCTCGTCAGATCTTCGTCAACTTCCTACGATGCGGTGTGCGAAGAGGAGGAGGGCGAGCTCAAGTGCACGACCAACCACGCACAGGTGCTGTTGTTGTGGAATCGTCAAGACCACGAATCGACTAAGCCACCTAAAGCCGAGCTCGTAGCCGACAAGCGACATCACCTTCCTCCACGTCGGCAACCCTCGTATGGTGGCCCGGTAACAGAAAGACGAAGCACACGACACAAGGGGAATGCATACGAATCAGGAAACATACCGAACGTCTGGGCGATCGATTTCGTCTACCGTCAACCATCTCGTTACGGATTTCTTCCATCTGCCTGAACCTTCGGTTAATTGCGGCCGCCCCCTCGTCGCAATACCTTCTACTTTTTAACGACATGCGAAATTGGATAGGCGTTCACGTACGATTTTTCTCGCCTTGTCATGCAAACTGTCATGTATTTTAGTCCTGGTTAGCTAGTTGACATCTCCGCGCGGCGTATCGGAGTCTATTTCTATATTGCCCTTTCACGTTCATCCTGTCGCCAACAGGAGGCCGATGGCACGTTGCCGGTTATGGGAGTAACCAGGAAGAAACATTTTTGATCACCTTTTACTTGCATCATATCGTCTTTTTCTATCCCCTTTTCTCCTCTTGTCTATTTTCATACGTTTTAGAATCCGTCATTTGCACCAGCATGGCGCAAATGGTGGCGGTGGGACTACCCATTAGGTGGCGTACTGTATTGGATATTATGAGCCAGTCGTCGATAGTGCCCAACGTACACCCCAACAGGGAGCGACCAACTTGGCTGCAGCAAACGACGCTTTTGGATTTGATATGTCATGTTGCAAGACATGCGTGCCCACGGGACCCAGCTCCCTAGGTGCGTTCTCTGTCTTTCGTGTTCGATATTTAATTACGCTTACAATGAATTACAAACTTGCGGCGCGTGCTCTGTGACTGGTTTCACCTGCACCAGACCCGATCATTTCAAAGTGGAATTGACGGAATTGTCTTCCGGGCCCGTACCGTAACGGGGGGCTGGTTGGCCATGTGGCAATACCGGCTGCCAATGGGTTTGCTTGGCGCCACCCATCGCTTCACCAACCCCGAGATCCCGACACCCGCTTATCGCCGATATCGTATCGAGCGCCCAGGCGCAAAGAGACCCTTGGGTTACCGGGATGTTCTGCCCAATGCGCGACATGACTCGAAAGCTCCTGCACCCCGCCAGCATGTCTCGGGCGTGATCAACGGGGAACAGTTGCTGAGTGGATGAAAAGAGATGTGATTCCTGCGCAGCCAGAGAAGTTGAGTGTTCGAACTCTGGCAGCCATGCATTGCTACGTGGCCCGCATGGAACGCATCAACCAGTTCCTGTTGGTCGAAACGCAATGCCGCCTCTCCGCATCTCCTGTAAGCCGGCGTGCGTCCAATGGTTCGGATCACAGAGTTCCTTCCGCTGATGGTGCCGAGCCCGAGCTTCGCGAGCCCTTTATTTTCTCCTCTTCTTGGTACCCGAGCTGGGCAGCAAAGTGGCCGGTCGCGACTCGAACTTGCCGTCTTGTAAGCCAAAGATTACTGGATCATATCCTATCCTTCTCTTCGTCTTCTTTCTTCACTTCTTCCTTGACGATCGCCTCTTGCAGGACAGTTTCCGTCACGACTCCGTCTTCGTACGTCTCGAGTTTGATAGCCGTCTCCTCCACTTTCGCCTTCCGCCCCTCAGCGACCTTCTTCCTGTCTGCAGCCCGACACAAACCTCGTAACCCGAGGCCGCATTCGCCACAACGCCGACCGCCAGTCTGCGGCGGACAGATGGTCTGCCCCAGGCCGACGAGGAGAGTATTGATCTCGCGCCAGCGGTCGCGGGGTAGCCAGGATTCGAGGGCAAGGCGGGAGGCTTCGGGGCTGGTGGTGGGACGCGGGTGCCAGCCCCAGAGATTGGTGAGGCGGTGGACATGGACGTCGACGCCGATGCCCTCGGTGCGGTCCCAGGCGGCGGAGAGGCAGAGGTGGGCCATCTTCGGTCCCACGCCCGGGAGGGAGGTCAGGCCCTCGATCGTCGTGGGGATGTCGGAGCCGTGTTTGTCGCGAATGATCTCGGCCGCTTGTTTGATGTACCTACCATTCCAATTTGTATTGTGAGCAATTAGTGCCAGCAAGACACGAACCACACCTTGGTTGAAATCCAACTGTATGATGGGAAACATGTGACACGTACTTGGTCTTGTTATTGTGAAATCCGACGACGCGGATGAGCTCGTTGAGCTTGGATGGCTCGACGGCGAGGACGTTCTCGAGTGTCAATCCCGGCGGAGCCCCTGCTGCGTGGGGCGGCAGCTCGTTGTGCAGGCGACTCATGGCGACGGCGTTGACGGTATCCTTGGTCTGGCTGGACATCATCAGGGCAATGAGGATGTGGAAACGCTTGTCGCGGTCGCTCGCATCCGGCGCGAATAGGCGGTCGCAGCCCATGGTGTCGACGGGCGCGTCCCGGGCCGCGCCGTTGAGGCGCATCTCCCGGATCAAGGCGTACATCTCTTCCCAGTCGGAGGGGGGTTCTACCGCGGCGACTGATGAAGGAGAAGGACCCTTGATGATGCGGGCGGGCTTTCGCCGCTTGCGAGGCGTGGGAGCAGCAGGCGCAGGAGACGGTGTTCTGGAGTCATGTTCATTACGGGCGGAGGAGGAAAAGGCATCGGGGGTTGGTTCGGTCTTGATGGTTCGCCGTCGCTTTCTTGCTCCGGCGCTGTCTTCAATGTCGAGGACGGAAGGCTGTTCTGAAGGGGGGGCTGGGGTCAAGTTTGGAGACGAGGTGGCCTGGTAGGCGAAACGGGCGAGAGACGAACGCGTTATGCGCCGGGATGTCGTGGAAGGTAAGGAAGATTCGCCGAGCAGTGCGACGGTCTCCTTGGATATACGAGAGCTGCGCATCGTAGACGGGCAAACCTGAGTCGCACCAAGACTTGATGGAATTGATACTATGGTTTTGCTTCACAGATGTCGGTGTACAACGGAAGGTACTTATTACAAGAGCACAGGTACTAAGCTACCGAGGTACAAATGTACCTACGTAAGCAAATACTGATTGGTCCGCCAGGTTCCGGCGAGCCAAAGTACTGGGACCGGGGGGTCCAGAACATGTGGACCACCCATTCGGAAAATATCTCCGACAACGTCTCTAAGAAGAGCCCCAATAAGAGCTCCAACGGGCTGACGACCACAACGGAAGGACATAATGTCTGGAAGCTCTGCATCTCCGCCACAAGTACGAACTACTTCAATTAATATTCTTCCGCATTCATCTTCAAACTCGCCTCCTTCCTTGTTATGTTAGAGTTGATAAAGTGATCTCTTGGCGACAATCCCCACTTCAACGACTATGAGGACGAGCCGTCGACATAGAAAAGAAAGTCAGAGGGACTACTGCCCTGATTATCTCGGGGCCTCCAGGGCACCTATCTGCGCCATAGCTTCTATTCCTGGCAACAGAGCTTCGTTTCGAGGACATATTCCCAGGTAGAACGAAGTGTTGACCTACTTACCTTCTCGGGTCGACGTACGCGTTCCTCGTCCGTCCAATCAACATGACATCTTTTACCAAACCACCAAGCCCCGGGACGCAGTATCCTTACGTCTTCACCTTTTTATTTAGTGGCCAGCATATTGTCTGGATACCACTGAATTATCATCATGGTCTGGCCTTGCCAAACTATGCAAACGAAGAGTTGGGCCCCTCGAGAGTCTTCTGACCCCGATACATTGAATGAAGCACTGTGATCTCCTTCTATAAAAACCTCACATGACGATTTGAACTCAAAGTTCAAGGTCCAAAGCCGTCCTAGCTTTCCTTATGTCTTCTTCTTTCGTACTCCTCCTCCCCCTTTTCCTGCTCTTTCTATATTTTACTGGGCATTATTTCACAGGTATTTCTAGTGCCGCCTCGTCTTTCCATCATCTGCTGTTTCTGACATTTATACTATCAGAGGTACCATGATCTGAAGTTCACCGAGCGTTACTTTCCCCACGTTGCTCACCACGATCCTCCTTTCTTAACATTCATGTATCTCTTCATGATTCTTTCTACCAGGCCTATATCATACAGCCTCAGCTAACATTACGTAGTCATTCTTATAGCATATTCGAACTTCATTATCCTGACGTACACAGAGGGAGACTTAAGATCTAGAAGGCACGCAGCTCCTTACTTCTCAGAGCTTATACATCCTTAACACAGGAGGAAAGCACGCAAGTGACCCTCTTCCCCTGGCAACAGTTTACGAACAGACCGGTTCCCACCAGCCATTGATTGATTTGGTGACTGGTACTGCGCACGTCTTTCCTTTTTACACAAAGTGACCCATGGTCTATCTGCTCCAAGGGGCCCTCATTACTGCATATGGCAATCTACACTGCCACTTTAACAATGGCATCCGACTCTGAGAAAAGGAGCGTGACCCCAGACATTGTAAGTAAAGACATCCTATATATCAACGTCGTTCCTTCTGATTGAGCTGATGTGACTAATTGAAGGCATTCTTTTAGGAAGCTCTTCGAGTGATGGCTGCTGCTCAAAGGCCGATGTGTCTCGCATGTATCGCAAAGTGCGGCGACAATCCCGGTCATATATGCGAGTACCCAGACAAGTCAACGTCCCCCTGCAATCACTGTCACGACGTCTCCGAGTGCATTAAGGTGAAGAGCACATTGGCCAGTGTAAAGCAGCTACAGAAGATGGCCAGGGACATTGTGCAGACCGAGAGACGCAGTAATGGTGTCCCCTGTGTCGAGAAGAGGCATTGGCTCAAGATACTCAGTCGTGCTGTCTTCCAGTTCGTAGAGGAGAAGTGGATGCACAAGTTGACTCGCATGGAGCTGGACTGCAAGCGGAAGAGAGAGGCAAGCCTTGAAGATGATTTGTCCCGGAAAAGACAAGAGCTTGAGCAGGTCGAATCGGACTCTAACAAGTCTGCAGAAGATGAGAAAATCAGGCTTCGCCATCAACTCGGCGTGGCCAACCGCGAGATTAGCGACATCGCAGCACAATATACCGAACTACGTAAGATCTTTTCGGGGCGGGTCGTGGAATCGATGAACACGCAAACGGAGCTTCGGAGGCAGGTCGATTCTCTCACGTCTGAGCGAGATCAACTCCGACAAGAAAAGGAGGCCAGAGAAGCAGACCTCGAGGCTCACATACAGGAGCGCAAGAATACGGCTGCCCAACATGATGATTTGCGCCGACAGTTCCTAGCCCTGCAGGACGAAGCCATTGCCAGAAGGGATGAATATAAGACACACCTGCACAACGTGACCAGCGACATGCGCAGGCAAGTCTCGCAACTCTCTCGTAAGAATGACGAGACTACCGCACGACAGGCAGAGTTTGAAATTGAATACCGCAACATTGTCGACCAATGTGCTGCGCTGCGGGAGAGCCTAGCTCGAGTTCAGGCCGACTCGGATAACCACCTGAGGGAACTAGAAGCACGACTTCACAACGTCACGGCTCAACGCGACGCCCTACAAGATGACCTTGCCAGGCGCAGAGACGAGTCCATTACTACGCTAGGAGGGCTCAAGGAGCCGCTTCGCCAGACAGCTGTGGGCGATATGGGCGTGCACGATACGCCCAATTCCTCCCTAGATCAGTCGATGACTAGGCTCGAGGCAGTGGAGATGCAACTGCATGAAGCTACGTCGGTCAACGAGAAATTACAAGCAGACATGGCGGCCAGACATGAACAGTCCATCGCCCGATACGTTGCGTTAGAAGAGCGTATTTTTGATCTAATGGTAGAGAATGCCAAACTCAAGGCCCAACTGCAGGAATTGGGACAAGATGCAGAGCGATGGGAAGGACGCCGTGCGCCGGAAATCGGAAGAGACCGGATTTCGCATCCCCAGGGCCAGATTATTGAGCAAGGAGTGACCGCTTCACAAGAAGAAGAACTCCTCTCTCAGCTCCGCGAATTTCGGAAAGTACGAGACCAGCTTGAGCAGGACAGGGATGAGAATAAGAGAGTCATTGAAGTACTTCTTCAGGAGATGGCTGAGTATAAGCAAGAAATTTGGAGAAGGAGCAGTATCTGACGAACAAGACGCAGAAGATCAGTTCGAAAATTTGGCCGGAGACGTTTACACGGGCGTTATTTCGTGTAGAGGCGGTAAGTCTCTACCTCCCTCGTGTAGAGGATTACATTTGCTGATATTGGAATATTCAGGGGCTGGACACGCGTTCCATACTTGAACTGGAAGAATCTCTTCGCTATCTATAGGGATTTACCTCTGCCCATAATCTACTATTTGCTTCTCTGTTTCTCCTGACCTCTTCGTCTTTCACTTGCCCTTTTTTCTTTCTTTTCTTCTTCTTTCGTTTCTCCTCCTTCCTTTTCTTTATTCTACTTTTATACAAGGAAGAGCTCCGGGTCGCAACGCATCCATAGCAGGACGGGGACGACGGCTGGCATTGAACGGATAAGACAGAGGACAAATAATTACAGAAAGCTCCAAGTCAAACTAACGTGGTCGCCTCTGACAAGACCCAACCTACTATAAATGAATACTAAATTGATACATTCTATCACATCGCCGCGCTCTGAGATCCCCTGATCTCATGTTGTTCCACCCAGCATGACAGTCCCTCTGCAGTGTCCCACCTCAGAGGCTCCGTTTCATTAATGGGAACCTGCGTCACTCCGTTCACGAGATCCTCACCCATGCGCCGGGCCTCAATATTCGCATCTTCGATGGAGGAATATACGCCGACGATGACGAATTCTCCATTTTGGTCATCTCGCCAGAGGACAAGAAATATCCTATTGGGTGAAGGAACTGGGTTTGCCTGATCTGACATGTTTGTGGGGTGCTCGCTGCAGAACGGGGGATGGATTGCCGAAGCAAGTTGCCTTATTGAGTGGCCAGTAGGAAGTGAGTGGGTTTTAGGACGCAACAAGTTGAGATAGAGTCGGTTTATGTCGTTTTATGAAGCGCTCTTTTCGACTGGAAATTCAGCTTAATTATTCATTTGCGGCAGTCTCTGGCTCATATGTAACTTCTCAGATTGAAGTGGGATGAATAGGTTACCGGGTTGAAAGGTGCAAGACGTCCAAGGTTTCCTGTCTTATATCGACACGGTGACATCACACCGAGCACAACTGCCCATCACGTGACTCAGCGAAACCGCTTCACCGAGGGTACGGAGTGAAGATGAGGAGCATGGCCAGAATAGAGCCACGAGACTGACATTGGAGAACGACATTCAAAATACCCCGGATGTATCATTATTTATCATATTAAGCGAATAATCTACCACAGCACCATTACTGCAGGCCCAGCAACATGCCTCCGTTGGCGCAAATAACCTGCCCAGTGCACCACGCCGACTCGGGCGAGCACAACATGGCAACCACGCCCGCGACCTCCTCTACATAAGCCGGCCGTCCCCCGGCCTCCTCGGCATTCTTCACGACCTCATCGGAGTCGATACCGGGCCTAGCCCTCATGAGCGGGGTGTGTTCGATGTACCCCTTGATGAAGCGCTTAAACTCGGGCGTGTTGCGGTCGTACATCGGGGTCAGGACAGGCCCCGGGTTGATGGCGTTCACGGTCGCGCTCTCGCTCAGCTCGCGGGCCCAGGTCCGCGTCATGGCCTCCAGCGCGGCCTTGGTGCCGCCGTAGACAGTCTGTCCGGGGAAGCCGCCGGAGGAGCTGACGGAAGACAGGTTGACGATGCGGCCGGAGCGGTCGGTCGGGAGGTAGGGCTGGGCAGCCTGGACGAGCAGCAGGGGACCCAGGACGTTGACGCGGTACGAGGTCTCGAAGTCTTCGACCTTGATGTCGGGGAGCTTGTCGTTCAAAGCGACGCCGGCGTTGTTGATGAGGATGTCGATTTGGAAGCGAGATGCACCGGGCTCTAGGATCCGGCTCTTGGCGGTCTCGATGAGCGAGGCTGGGCCGGCGGTCGTGCCGAGGTCGGCCTGGATGGGTATGGCGAGGATGCCGTGCCTCGCGGTCAGATCCTGGGCGAGTTTCTCGGCGGGCGCCTGGGAAGATGTTGACGTGTAGCCCAGAATAAGATCGCACCCCTTGGCGGCAAGGATCTCAGCGATGGCGTAGCCGATGCCTGGGACGGGTTTAGTGAAGACTTCCAGGGCTGTGATGTCTCCATGATACGACTCACCTCTCGATGCGCCGGTGACAATACCGAGCTTCTTTTCCAGGGGGCGGGCCATTCTGTCAGAAGATGAGGAATCTGATCGTGCTTTTCGATTGGGTACCTGGTCAATAGGGGATGCTAGGTTCTCGATCACAGGGAGCAGCAACTTTCACACTTGCGACAGGAGGTTGGAGGGAAAGAGGAAACAGCTGAAATTAATGTGAATCGGAAAAGAAGCTAATCAGGACCTGAAAGTCAAGGCTTCAAGTCATGCCGACAAGGAGCCGTCCCTCCATTTCTTCCATTACAAACAGTGATGGGTATATTCCGCTCATTTGAGGGTCTCGTGTTGTCGTGAGATTGCGGTCAATACGGAGAATACGGAGTAGCGGGGAGGGGCGGTAAAATGCGTTGGGTGGGGAGGGGGAAAAGAGAACTACCTACCCCGCTGATTCGGTTCTGCCCCGCAGCGATATCCGACTATTATATCCGATAGGTGACGAACTGATGCGCACCAATCCCTAGGAGGCGCCAGAGTTGAGACCATTGTCTAAGGTAATCAGGGTCAGAAGGTCCAGAAGGTATTGTATTCGTCCTGAGTACATACGTGTAATAACTGGAAAGCCGCCTAAATCCAAGATTTTGTGGCGCTTGTCACGTCAGTGTCTTGGATAGGTACTTGTGTCACTGCATGTATCAGATCTTTTGGAATTAAGCTTTGGGATAATGTGCATAATGTGCTGTTCAAGATGCCCTTGTTGATGCTGAACCTCCCATAATACTTCTGTAAGGTACCTAAGTATTCTAATCTGTACCTACCTTAGGTACCGACTTACGTTGTACTGTGCCTGAAGGACCCATCCTTATCAGTGATACAGCCAATCAATGGCGCTTAGGTAACTCTTGATCTTCGTCACAAACAACTACCTACACGTGCAGAAGGAAATGTGAAGAAGTGAAGCTCAACACAACATCGACAGACAGGAGCTCCTCTACTATCACAACCAACACCACTCATCTTTCCACTGCAAACTACGGATTTGCGACTCGCGATTCAATTCTAAGGTGCTACCTTTTCCTCACTGAACACTTCCCATCTAGGAGGAAAACGAGTCGACACCGAACGAGCGATCCATACAGTACCCGAGAGAGAGAGAAAAAGAATACCAGAGTGAGAAGAGATAAAAAGGGAAAATACGAACAGGAATATAATAAAGGGCCTCTTACCATGGATATCCGACTCCTCCAACCCTCCGACCTCCCCCTCATCCAACACGCCAACCTCGAGAACCTGCCGGAAAACTACTTCCTCAAATACTACCTCTACCACGCCCTCTCCTGGCCACAGCTGAGCTATGTCGCCGTCGACGCCTCCCGCCCGCGCACCTCGCCCTACGACCACCCCAAGATTGTCGGCTACGTCCTAGCCAAGATGGAGGAGGAGCCCTCGGACGGCATCCCGCACGGCCACATCACCTCCCTCTCCGTCATGCGCACCCACCGCCGCCTGGGCATCGCCGAGAAGCTCATGCGCCAGTCCCAGCGCGCCATGGTCGAGACCTTCGGCGCCAAGTACGTCAGCCTCCACGTCCGCGTCAGCAACGTCGCCGCCATCCGCCTCTACCGCGACACCCTCGGCTTCACCGTCGAGAAGGCCGAGCCCAAGTACTACGCCGACGGGGAGGACGCCCACTGCATGCGCCTCGACCTGGGCCCCATCCGCGCCCAGATCGCCGAGGAAGAAAAACAGATGGAGAAGCTGTTTCCGGCTGCGGAGGACAAGGGCGACGCCGCGGGGGAGGACCAGGACGAGGGCGAAGCCGTGGGTGACGTGGGGCGAGATCCGGGCGCTGGCGAGCTGAAGAAGGTGAAGGTCGGTCGTGGCTTGGGCGTCGGTACCCTGGTGGAGAAGATTGCGCCTTCTGCAACTAAATCGGCGTGAGTGTAGAGGAAAAGCAAGAAGAATAAAAGAGGAAAGACAAAAGTATTGATATCCACTTGACACTCTGGGGTTAACTCGTGCTACCTCTGCATCTGCCTACCTTACCGTTAGGAATCTAGTCACGGTTTCCCATGCTCACTCAGACACGGGAACGTCGAGGTGCGGAAGGGGGGGAAGAAGACGGGGATATCGGATCGTTCTGACTGCTGGGTAGGGACTGCAGCCTCAGAAACACATCTAGGAGATGACGAACCACAGAGACGACGATATCACTGTCAGGGCATTCTAGGGAGAGCCAAATCGGGGAAACCGATTGGGCAGAGTGAATGACCAGGAGGAATAAAGGGCAACGACTTGGAGTACAGGGTGAATCTTACCTACGTGGCAGGAGTAGAGGACTTCAGACCCAAATGAAACCCATGCTGGAGACATCATCACCCATTTACCACCTCTCTCTCCTATCCCCCTAACCTCTCGTGGAAGAGGTTGCAGCTTCAGTGTCCCGCTATCTGCATACACTGGCCCTCTCTCCTTTCTTGTTCGTCCAACTCCCTAGCAAACTCCTCGTCGGCTCCGATCCTCAGCCGGTTAACGCTACGTTTCAGTTCCTCCACCTCCGCTTCGAGCCTCTCGGCCGAGCTCCATATTTCTGTGGTCGGCCGGTCACCACCGTCCACACCCTCTGCAGCGTCTGAAATATCATCTGTCTTCAACCCCTTTTCATCCTCTGTCCTGGTCATGAACGCTTCATTCCGTGCCCTTGCTTCGTCAAGCTGGGTGCACTTCCCGGCCAGCTCCTTTTCTAGTTCGTCCAGGATCCGAAACTTCGCCTGTGACCGTGCATGCTGGCTTACTTCGCTCTGTGCCTGGGAATATCCCGGGACTCCGGCCTGAGCTCGTCGTTCTTCCGCTGGCCAACCGCCTGGTGGCGGGAAGGGTGGGAAGTGGCGTTGCTGGGGACCGATCCCCTCGGCTCCGTGGCCGGGAGGAACACCGAACGGCGTTGTTGGGGCGGAATGCACAACCCAGGGACCGTGTGGAAATCCGTGGAGAGGAGGAGACACGTGGATGCTGGGGCCGTGAGGGGGACGTGGGCCTGCCGGTCCCGCCACGCCCGTTCCCATCCCCGGTGGCGGTATAGCCGGGTTTCGCCAAGCGTTCCGACTGCCCTCCCGTGCCTGATTCTCCTTGACCCTCCTCAGCTCCCTCTTCCGTTCTTGCCGCTCTTTCCTCGCTACCTTCTTTCGCGCCCTTTTCTCCGTTCTCTTCACGATTCGCTGCGTCCGCTCGACAGTCTTCCATGCCAAGAGAAGTCCTTTGACCTCCACACGAAGGGCCTTTTTGTCCACGCCTTCCGCAATAAAGTCGGCTTTCTGGTCCTTCGCTTTGCGTAACTCAGCATTGAGACGGCGGACCTCCTCATTTGTCATCTGATGCGCTGGTTCGGTCAACCAGGTTAGGAGTCTGTGGCGGTATGCCGGAAGTTGCCACGGCTCCAGATCGTCCAAGTCAGGTAATGATTCTATAGTGGTCACGGAACTCGTGTCGGAGTCGTATGAGTCGGGAGAGGGTGTGCGTTGACGTGATGGGGACGCACGTTGGAGGTCTGGCAGGCTGCCGAGAGCCGGCGGTCGACCCCGGGTGTGAAGATACGGCCCCGGGTTGGGGTCTGCAGGAAATGGGGCTGGTGGAAAGGAGTTCGCCAGCGAAAAACCGCCAGGTCCAACCAACGGGGGATGGTAATAAGGGACGGGTCGAGGCGACTGATGGTACATGGCTCCCGGATAGTTGGGGTTCGCCCCGCCGCTGAACATACCGCGGCCGGCGATGACGTTGTCGAGATACCTGACACCATGTACATCAGCTATAAGGCCACCCACCCGGATGCCATTTCTGTCGGCCACTACGGTGTTTCCGATGGAGAAGCCATCGTCCCGTATGTTGATACCGGCAAAACTGAAGCCATTCTCCCCCTGCTCTTTATGCCAGGCGCCATAAGGCTGAGCGTGGAAAACCATGGGTGGGTGGAAAATTGGTGGTTGCATGGGCGCCGAGAGACCGAACGGCGGCTGATATTGTGGTGTCTGTAGGTGGCTCCTGTCCCGGATATCTGAGTCTTGGGCTTGACGGCCCTCGAGCGATGATTCAAATACGAGGCGCACCCAGATTGCGCGAGGCTGGAAGAAGCCGTGATTCCACGCAAATGTAACGGCCTCTGCTTCCTGTTTCACGGTGGCTGACGGTGTCAGTGCGTGGATGTCGGTTGATTCGAGACGAAGCCTCTCCAGGTGTGCAGAGGCCTGGTTCCTCCCTTGTGATGAAGACGACCGGCCGTGTGGTGTCAAAGAGGAGCCTGCGGCGGCGCTCGGCTCCTCGGCAAGGAGTTTGCGGTCTATGATGGCTTCATTTCTGAGGGTCGCGTGGTGTGGTAGGAGAAAATTCAAGAAGGTATGCCAGTCCTGGGGCGTAACGTCATGCACCCCAAAATCGGGATTATAGGGAAGCTGATCCGGGGATGAGGCGGCGGATACGCTGATGGTGTGGGTTATATGAACTTCCCGGTAGAATCCGGGGGGCAGTGGACGAGATTCGAAATAGGCGCGGGCAGAAGAAGAGGACAAGGACGGAGGGTCGAAGCCGTTGTTGTTCGTGATGGTGACGTCGGAAGCGTCGATGCTAGGCGTTATGGGGGGAGAAGGGTAAACCGGGAGAGAAGATGGAACAGCCGACCAAGGCGAAAGATGGCCTGTGGAAGTGGCTGGTCGACTGTTGTCGTTGTTGTGGTGGTGTTGTCTGTCTCTCTCAGAATAGGGGGGTGGGGGGACGTCGGACGGATCCATATCCGAGAATAATAAACAGAAAATACGAGAGGATCTCGACCCCGGAAGGTCAGGGCGGTAAGTTGAATTAGAGATAAGGAAAAAGAAAAAGAAAAAAAGAGGAGGAAGGCGGTAGGATCAAGAACAGGTAAAGCGTTCTGGCCTGCCTGTGACCTGTTAGAGACTCCTATGACAAGGGTTGGACACTTCCGAGAAAATGGTCAAGGTAGGCAACAGTGTCAGGCTGCTCGACTAAAGACATATGATCATATGATCAAGCCGCAGAAACATCAGGCACCGTGTCATATAGGGGTGCTTTTGCTTTGGTAGTGCCTAGGCCTCAGGCTGCCGGGGAGGGGGTCTTGGGAGTCTTGGACAGTTCTTGGACAATGTCAGAATCCCCAATGGTTATCGGCCCAAGGAGAATAAAAATAAAACCAAGTAGCTCTCGCTCTTCAGGCTCCAGAATTTCAATGCCATTGTTCAACGGAGCTCCGGAAACGTCGATGGGTTGACAGATAGATAAGACTGTATTACTCTGTACCTAGTTGTTGTAACCGTCAATCGAAACGTGGTCGGCGGCGTGAGATGGATCGGTTCCTAAGGTACCTTAGGCACCTCTAATTAGTACTCGAGGTGTGAGGTACCTTAGTATTAGTACAGTAGGAAGACGTATTTATACCAAGATGACTAAACCCTTTGATTTAAGGCTCAACATGTGACTTGGTAATACAAACTCAGTAATTACTCCGTAAGGTACCTTATTATGTACGCTTACTATTCGTACCGTCAGTCTCCTCTCCTGGCCCTTTCAAATTCACTACTTATCGGTGTTACAGTCAAGTAGCGACAACGGACTGTATTAGATCCACCTCTACCAGGCAGTTAAGGTCAAGGTAAGTGCCGTTTGTACGGATAGCTAGTAGATTTGTTGAGCAGCCATTACACCAGGCGCCCCTGATGTTTTCGACTCCATACATAAACTCCTGGTCCGCTCGCCGGCCGAGAGTCGGGCCCTGCTGCCATCCAACCCTTCTGTACAACGTCCGACGCGGCCTTCATGCTCGTAACGCCAACGCCAAGCTTGCCCTGTTTATGCCCATCCGGATGTTAACCAGTCCTCTGAGACCAAGGCCAAGGCATTCTATCAAAGACATCTCTCATCAGGCATAATTGATGCAAAACCCCCCAGACCAAAAAGAGCAAGAGCGACACCGGCCACGTGTCGCGAAGGCCCAACCCAGGGCCTAGCCCTTGCACGGCTCGTCGATGTCCCCATGGTAGCAGGTTGCGCATACTCCTCATCCCTGCTGACCACACAACGCAGGCCAACGGCACTGTCAAACTAGACAGCTTCAATCATGACTGCCCCAGCGTTCTTCTGCCCTCAAGCATGCGTCACGAATCGACCATTGCGGGTATCGTCTGCCCAACGTTGTCGTGTTTCTTGTGCATAAGCCCCCCCACTTCAACTAACAGGAGGGCTTTGTCGTCCGCTTGCCTCCCCAAATCACCTCTCCGCATCGCCCCAGAGCTGAAAATCAACATCTTCTGCCTTGTAGTGATCCGCCACGATCGTCGTGAGGTGGTTTCGGGAGTGGATACCGCTATGACCTTGTTAGCCGTGCTGCCAAACCAGCCTAATACTCTGCTTTCCTTCACTTACAGATTCGTGATGTATGAATCGACAAGCTCCGGCTGTATAAGCTCCGTCACGGCACCCTGTAACTGAGCTCCCTTGACGAACAAGCCATCCGAGAAGCCCGCGTGACCCATGGCGCCTCCCCATTCCACTAGTTCGTCCTCTTCCATCGAGCTCTCCGGCGAAAGCTCATATACGCCGCTGAGGACAATGACAGGGCAGCCTTTCTCCTTCGCGGCGCGTGCGACGTGTCCGGCCCCCGCGTCCGTGACGACACCGCCATTAGCGAGGACGCACCGGGCACTCAAGACCACCTTGCTGATGCGCGGCATGTGCGCGGCCTGTCCAATATTCATGATGTTCATCGAAGCAACGCCTGCCGCCTGCAGCTTCTTCCGGAACGACGCGAAGGGCACCTCCCCGGGCACCTCCCTGGGCGACGAAGCGAGCCGCGGATCGACCGCAATGACCACTGTGAATCTCCTCTTAGTCGCCGCCCGCAACAGGAACTTCTGAACCGTATGCGACGGCTGATAGACCAGCACGTAGTCGAGCGGACGGATCTGCACGTCGGCCGACGACGCGATCTGATCGTCAACCTGGCTGATTTCGTCCTTGATCTCCTCAATCCCATCTATAATCTCCGCCCTGATGGCGCTGATCCGCGCGTTCTGATGCCCCAGCCTAGGCGTCGACGTGCCCGAATCCTTGGCCAATGGCGAAAGGCTCGGGTGTCCGGGAGGCGATGCCTCCAGCAAGGACAGGAGCGTCTTCGAGGCCGGGAAAGACCCCACGGACATTAGTGCGCCCAACCTGACATGCCTAGGCCCACTGTGGAGATAGTCCGTACTTCCGTCATATTTCGTCGAAGGGGCCTCGGACGGTTCGGGCGCATCTGCTGCCGGCGGGAATGGCTCCTCTGGGGAGGCATCGTCGTCCGTCCCTTCGTTCCTCTGCTCAGAGGCCTCGTCTCGGATCAGTCCCAGCACTCTCCTGACAATGTTGGCCACCACCAGCTCCTTAGGCTGCGCAGCGACCAGCTTGCAGCCGACTTGCCGGACCGTCTCGAGCATATGATCGACATCGCGGAACTTGGTCTTCGCGACCACTTGGAGAAGGATGTGGGCCGTTGCCATGGCACAGGGTTCGGATCCTGCAATTTGGCGTCGTTTGAACAGGCTACCGAATCGGAACAGTTAGAGCCCTTCCAGACCTGATGCACCCTTTTTCATCCAGCCCTGCCGCGGATGCTTCGCTTGGGACAGCCAGGGAGAGGAGCAGGGGCACTCACGATATAAGGCTGTCAATTGAGGCATCTACGGATTTCCCCTTGAGAGATTTTAGATACTTCTCCACCTCGGAGGTGCTATTCATGACAGGCGCCATAATTGCGACAGTGTTCAGACTCCTGGATGGGCAGGCGCTTGCTTTTGTTTCTTATGCAGGTGGATGTAGCTCTGTGCCCTCTCTATCGCGAACGGTGGATTAATAAGAGGATCTTAGTGATAGTAGAATTCCGAATTCTCAAAGCTGGACTCATAAATGTGATGCTCAGAAATGGGTCGTTCAATTTCTGGAAGGACATGCGTGCAATGGCTTTGCCTGAACTCGTGTAGGCTTTGCGTCAGGAGCACAAGTTTTGGAGTGAGTCAAAGGTGATCACTTTCCGGTCGTAGCGCACGACGCAAGAAGCACATCCCACCTTCAAAGTACCTAGGTACAAACCCCCCCACCATGAATTTCCTCTTACGGAGTACGGATCAGGGTTAATTATTAACATTGAGAGTACAGAGAAGGTACGAAGTAATTACTTCATACACTAAGGTACCTTTTATCTTACCGTACGGATACTCCTCCGAAATTACTACCTTAATATACCTAGGTAAGGTATTCAGTGACTTTCGGCTAGGAACGGGTAAAATCACATGAGGAAACCAGGAACGCAAGACAACTTTGGGAATATCTTGTGAAGCAAAATGTTAAACATTTTCTTTTGTTCCTAAACGCTATTTTCATATTCTGATTTACTGCCTTTGACCAAGGGCAACTAAGACCTTCCCTTTGTTGGTCATCTGGAGGAGTACCATCTGAAGGACTGTTGATTCTCTGTGGGCCATCCAGAATTTGTTGGGAAGGTGTGTCTCGTGAAATTACGTCTACCTAATAGGTACTCCAGAAATCCTGAAGCTCATAATCCGTGGTATATTCACGACACAAATAACTTGTTCATGTTCATGCCTAATAATAAAGAAGACACCCCTCAAGGCATCCATACAACGTACTTCATTTCATAGAGCAAAGGTTACGGATATACCATGCTACTTATACCTCTACCTAGCAACCTATTTCGTAGTGCATGTGAAGTGCCTATTTTCAGGCAAGGGGTACAGCACGTGAATAACCACGCCGAGATTATTAGATAATATCAGCTCAACGGTAGAGCTATAAGCCCACAACCAACCACAGCCCGGCAGAAGAACCCGGGGCTACCTGCGTGGTACCGTGTATTACGGGAACAGCTCAATCCGCTGCATCCTGTCCTTCCCTTTCCCAACCACAGTTCCTCCACCTCCATTCGGCTTTTAGATTTTCCCCTCAGACACAATTACCTTGCTGCCCTACCTATCTTCTGCCTACGCATATCTTACCCTGCAATCGTGGAATAGAGGTATCATGCGTCGTCGGGACAATCATCATTAGACTAAAGCCAAGCCGACCCATCTCCGACTTAACCTGGCCACGACCAGACAAGCGAACACGACAACCCATCAGTCGACTGGTCGCATCGTTCCTCATCTCGTCCCTTGAACTTCCACGAAGCCGCTTCGCCCAGCGAAAACCCCTTCATATAGCCGCCATACCTACAGTCTTCAGTATATATGGCGGCGAGTTGACAATCCGTCGCCATTCTTTTTCGGGGAGGAATTTTGCTGCTCTTTAGAGGCCCCGGAGCCTAGAGTGTGTCGAAGCCGCTGGAGCCCCCTTCCCTCCTCCTCATCGAGCCGCAAGGGGCTTCTTTGTTCTCTTAACCTCCGCCCACGGCAATCCGGTCGTCCTCATAAGCTGCGACCCAGTCCTCACCATCAACGAACCTAGCCTCTTCTTGGGAAAGCCTCGTTCGCACAGCTCTCTCACCAATCTCCCGTACACATGTCTCCTGGCTCGCACATTTTCCCCATGAATTCTTTGAACATACTTTCCTCACGCGTGTCTCCGCCCCCGAGTCCGGGACCATCGCGTTCCAATTCCATCGCCTCGTTCGGCCTGGCTGTAGAGGCTGAGCAGCCGTCTCAAACAGGGTGTGGCGAGGACTTGGAGCAAACAATGGACGGACAGACTGGGGATGACGCCCTCGCCGACAATCGAGCGGAAGACACGCACCAAGCGCAAACCGGTACCGATTCTCATGTCCCTGTGATGGTGAGCGAAGAGACCCCGCTACTGGGAGGTTCCAGCGAGCCGTCGCTGCGCTCCTCACCGTGGCACACAGCACCTCGACGAATAGCCGCCAGTTTCATCGATTCCCTTCGTTGGGTTCTGTCAACGCTGACTGCCCCTGGGGTATACCTCATCGCCTGTCTTTACGACGGCGCGGGCTCTTTTGCTCCATTTACTCAACTGAACAGGCTTTTTGGCGGCCAGGACAGCAGTCAAAAGCTCGGTGTCGAATCTACCGAGGACTCCGAGAAGACGGGACACTCTGTGTCCCGCCAAACAACTAGGTATGGTGCACCCAATACTAATCAATAGCCAGTTTCCGTGCTTACAAGTTCATCTTCAACCAGTTTACCATCCGAATCCGAGTCGGAAAAGGATAGCACCCGAGACCACCGACACGCTCGCTCAAAGTCATTACACAGTTCAGAGGAAGCTGCCCATTCCAGGAGTTCGATCCGAATCAAGTTACACGGCGAGGGCGGCTCCCGAACAAAACATCGCAAGACCCAGTCGGCTAGTCCCCGAACCAAAGGCAACGACCGTACAGCCGTTTCCGAGATATCAGCACAGCTCAAGTCTCCGACTTCCCCTGCCGGGGCGTTGACAAAATACCCCCAAACGCCAGCGCCACCTCGCCCATTGATCCCGCGTAGACAACCGTCCTATCTGAACCTCGAGCCGACCGACAGAAAGCATCAGAAGACGCTGATTCTTGACTTGGACGAAACCTTGATACACAGCATGTCTAAGGGAGGACGGATGAGCACGGGGCACATGGTCGAGGTACGGCTGAGCCAGACCTATGTCGGGCCTGGAGGCCAGACGACGCTGGGGCCGCAGCACCCCATCCTATATTGGGTCAACAAGCGTCCCTACTGTGATGATTTCCTGCGCAGGGTAAGAGCCGCACACCGCCGTCCTAATCATTTGACATGCCGAAAGGCCTACAGCTCGTTCTAATGCGTGACAACGCAGGTGTGTAAGTGGTACAACCTGGTGGTCTTCACAGCATCGGTCCAGGAGTACGCCGACCCCGTCATCGACTGGCTAGAGTCGGAGAGGAAGTTCTTTTCCGCACGTTACTACCGGCAACACTGCACATTTCGACAAGGCGCATTCATCAAGGACTTGAGCTCCGTGGAGCCTGATTTGAGCAAGGTGATGATCCTGGACAATAGCCCGCTGAGCTACATGTTCCATCAGGGTGAGTTACAAGGCCACTATTTGAGTTGCTCCGTTGCTATTCCTTCCTAACTTTTTTTTTGCTTTTCTCTCTCTTTTCATTTTTCCCTTCTTTCTTTTCCTTCTTCTGACATCCCCGCCAGACAACGCGATACCGATTCAAGGATGGATTAGCGACCCGACGGACAACGACCTGCTCCATTTGATCCCGCTCCTCGAGGGTCTACAATATGTATCGGATGTGAGGGCGTTCCTTGCGCTACGAGGAGGCGAGGACGGTCAGCATATGGCGTGATTGAATTTTCAGCATACGATATCGGAAGGGGATAGGACTCGGGTGACAATAGCGACGGCGATGGGCGAAACGGCAGCGAGCATCGGGGCGGCTTTCAACATCATCGCCTAGACGGGACGGTTGTGTACAAATAATCAAGTGTTGTTTGAAAGTGTAGTCTCTTTTGCCCTCTTTTTTTTCTTGTATAGAGGGGAGTTCGGCGAGTTGACGTCTAGCACCTACCAATGTCCAGACGCTTGTGCAAAAGACTTTGCTAATCTACTCGCATTTGATGCTCTTGACAGCCTCACTAGTTACGACTGTCTCGAAAGTTACCACATTGTTGCTGTGGTGAACTTGTCTCGGATTATTCTTCCTAGAGGAATGACCATACTCAGGCGAGTTACCCTGCAAAAGCCAATCTTCGATTGACTACATGCGACAGCGGTGGTATTTCCGACGGCAAACCAGGAACTGTTCCGCTTGCAGTAAGAGTGCGAAGTTCACTGTCACGCCGCGATTACTGCCCGATCCCCGAATTGCTGGGGCCATGACAGCTCCCATTCCGACAGGGATCCATCGGCTGCCCTGGTCAGTACCGTCCTCGAAGCCAGGTACGAGAAGAAAGCCTCCGTACCAAGGAAAATCCCCTTGTCAATGAAGGAGATAACAGGAACGCCGAAGGAGACAAGCAGATGACGATGTCTGAGAACAAGTTCTGTGTGACGCATTCCTTCCTGACGGCCAGTTGCGGGCAATGACATTGTTTAGTCGGGAACTAGGGGACGAGGCGGCCAGAACTTCCCGATGTGTGGATCCAGCTATATCCCTGTTAAGCCAAATTGAGTTTAGCGTACGAGTGACCAGACAGCCTTGGGGTGGTGACATCATGGCACAGGTGACGACACCAGCTCGACCCAGGACGGGACCTGCGCATTCCTCTTGCCCGCTCTCACGGCAACGTCGGGGAGAACATCGTAACTGCATGCGGAGATTGTATGTATGTACTGCATACTTGGGTACCCGTCTTACACTACCGGTGCCGGCACATTTCCTCCTCCCAAACCCACAGCTCGCACCGGCCTGACCTCATTAGCGGGTCGAAAGGTAGCCGAAAAGAGTAGCTGGGCAGTGGTGATGAAAGATGGACGCGATGAGAAGTGCGTCCAAGGGAAGGTCAATTTCCCTCGGGCCTGCTGCAGTACTTCGTACTCAGTACAGGTTCTTGCCGCACCCCTGCCTACATTGTTTGAGGTCACTCGTCATTGCGTAAGGTATCCCTATCCTGCTCGTCCAAACGCTAAGTCTCTGGTCACGGGAATGCTCGCCCTGCTCCCATATTAAACACCCTTCCTCCCCCCTCATCCCTTCGTTAGAGAAGTCTTTTATTGTGATGCATCCCATCTTCACACCATCGTCAGAATCCAAGAACCGATCAACTCTCATCCGAAACCAACCTTTCCATCGAATCTGAGGATACTCTTGTTTTCGATAATTCACAATGTCTCTTCACTGTGAGTGTTACCTGCTTGGGGACTCGAGAACTCTGGCGAAGGCAGCACCTAGTCTTCACGCCCGGCAACGGCCAGACTACGGCCGTCCCCCTAATGGCTTGAAAATTCTTCCAAGATGTTGTCGAATCTGATGGGGGGGACTGTCTGAGCTGGCTACCTGATTCGAGTTTCAGGTACAAAGCTCTCCGAAACTGTGCTAATACGAGTATCCTTTCTCTAGATCTTCCTCCCGTTAAGCCTTCGGCCATCGCCCTCGGCACCGTCTTCAACCACACCGCCGAGCTCGCAGGTTAGTAGCCCACCGACATTCAGGTCCACGACAGACGTGCTCACATTTTCGCTCTAGTCCTCACTCCCCTCTTCGGAGCCACATACCAGCGGGCAAAGGCCGCCAACACCAAGGAGGAGTTCCTCAGGTCCAAGGAGGCTTCTTCCGCCGCCGTCGCCTGGGGCACTTCCCTGGTCGGCTCCGCCCTGCAATCCTACGGCGTCGGTGCTCTCATCAACGCCACCGGCACTCTCTCCTACAAGGGCGCTGCCTACCTTGGAGCCCTTATCTTTGCGGCCACGTCTGCTCCTGGCGTACGTGCTCCCTTCGCTATTGATTCAAGTTCTTCTGTGAAGGCCAGCAGTACTGAACTAACGACACATCCCTACAGTACCTCAACGAGATCCTGATTGAGAAGCGCCCTATGGATACCGTCGGCGTCAGCTTTTTGGCCAAGGCATTGGAGACTGTTGGACTATCCCTTGTCCTCACCTGGTGGGGCACTCGTACCAACCCCTTCGACTAAAGGGTTGTAAGGAAGTCCGTTCTGTGGTGTATTAAATGGTCAAGAACTTGTTAGGGACGATGATGGCGACAGTTCCCTTTTATGTGTGCTATTACTAGCCCTCAATAATGGAGGTTGATCAGTGTAAGATGAAATCAATTTACTAGTAAAGCCGGCAACCGCTTGTCTATCCGTTGCGAGCATCAAATTGCGTGTGAATGACCATCTTGGGCCGAAGTCAATTGCAGGTTTTATATGATTTGAGAGCTTGTGCAAACATACGTAATTGGACCTTCCAGTCATTCAAGAGACGCCGGAAATTTTTATAGCTTGGTCGAAAATCTTATTTACCAATGCAACTGCACCGAACGCCGTTAACCCATCCGATAGTCCATGCCGCATGGCCATGGGGTATAATACACCGTCATACCCAGAGCTGCTTGGCAGCGCTGAACGCCCCCTTCCCATCCAGCCGCCAACGGCACTTGAAAAGCGCTGTACACCACGTGAGACAACCTCTCAATCCGTCCGCAATGACAACCTCTTGTGATGTGACCAGCCCCTCGTCCAAACACTGTGCTGCCGATTAGAGGTTCCGCACCTAGCACCAGACCTATGCCCAGAAGGACTGCCTAGCCGTCTCCTTCTGCACAAGCTTAACAAGCGAATCATACGCATCCTTGAAGGTCTCTCCGTCATCCTCGCCATCATCCTTGGCGTCGTCCTTCTTCTTCTCGCCCGCCTTCTTCGCACTACCCGTCTCCATGACCATGACAACGGAGGTAGGACGCTTGGTCTTGGCGGCAGCGCCGAGCTCGGCGCGCGAGGGGACGAAGATGTACGGCACGTTGTGGTCCTCGCAGAGCACTGGGAGGTGAGAGACGACGTCCTGCGGGGAGATGTCTCCGGCGATGATGAGGACGCCGGGGAAGGTGGTGCGGCCTGGTGCGGCGGGCGGGGACTTGCGGAGGGTCTTGACGACTTCTTTTACGCCGCGCTTGAGAGTGTTGTTCTTGGCGGCTGTAGATGTGCAACGCATGACGTTAGTTCCAGTTGTGCGGTTTCAACCAGGGATTATCTCGTGCATGGGCAGAGGCAATGTGCTATGTGATGGGTGTAGGGATAAGGAGAAAGGGGAAGGAAATGCTGAGATGGGCAGCCCACCCATACGTAGGGGATTCATGGAGACACTTACCCTTCCGGACAGTCTTGAGAACCTTCTTCATCGCCTTGTCGTCGGCCAATGGCACCGCGAACGGGACCAGAGCGCCCGGCACGATGGGAGAGACTTTCTTGACGGCGCCGTCGCTGACCACCACTGGAGCGGCGGCCGCAGCTACGGCATCGGCTTGCAGGTGACCCTCGAGGGCACGTTCGAGCTTCTCCTTTTTCTCTTTCTTATCCTTCTTGTCCTTCTTGGGCTTGTGGATGCCGTCCGCCTCGGAGCGCTTCTCCTTCTTCTCCTTCTTGTCTTTCTTGTCCTTCTTCTCCTTCTTGTCTGGTCTTTCGGACGCCATTTTTCCGGAGCTCTTCTGTTTCAATGGGCGACTTTGAGGTGCAAGGTATGTGGCGGTGTCTGTTTGACCGAGACCGGAATACGGGAATAATGGTTGTGGTGTTCTGGCAGACCCGACTTCGTTCTTCCAAATCAGCGGCAACGTGAAACGCAAAGCTCGCTCGCAATTTTCCTTTGGATTTTTTTTTCTGCGGGGAGCTGCTGTGCCTCTGCCGATTGGGCTTAGTCGTTGGTTGGATTTTTGGATCGGCAAAATGTATGTCCGATGCAAGAAATATTCGGAGACTGGATATCACGTGATTCACATCCATCCCATCAACCATGCTATACTAAGCTCTTGGATTCTCGATAGCATTATGGATTCCTACATGTCTATGGTTGCGAGTCATTAAATCGCGTGTTGGTCTGGAATGAGGTTTTTTCTTCGTGTCCAGTAACTTATTTATGTGGATAAGTGAGTTCCGAAGGTAGCTAGTAGCAACTGGTAGCCTATTCCATGTGCTGTGATACAAACCGAAGTCTCACTGCAATCCTGGTTACCACATGTCTACCGCCCGATGCTCTTCCCATCTGGACCTTGCCAGTACATTGTCCGTGGTCTTAGAACAAAAGAATCGAGTCGGAAATGACCTGTCGACCAAGAAAAGATGCCTTTAAGATAAAGTAGGAAACGATTAAGACCAGGCTTCCAAGAAAATATGCTTATGGGCAATGCACGCAGAGTAGATGGCCTATACCGGCCCAGCGGTTGGAAGTTTGTTCTATTCCGCCTCGCCGACTATCTGATATACAGGTATTGTTGACGAAAAAAAGTCGCGGTCTAGTCGTTGAATCCACATGATAAATGCAGGTTTATTCCTCCTCGTCGGCAAACTCGGCACGACCCGCCTTGGAGTTGAGGTAATGGTTCCTGCAAAAGCATCGCATCAGCATCACTTCTCACGTTGGGATAGCTCCAAGGAAAAAAATGACACATACCGCTCGATAGCCCAGTCCATAATGAAGTAGCCGGCAATCAGCGGCGGCGCAATGTAGAGGACCTGGCTGCGGAAGCGACGGAAGGTGTTGAAGATAGCGTCGTGTGTGGCGCCAGCGAAAGGGTTCTGGCGATTCGGGGAGAGACCGTATGTGATGATGCCGCGCTGCTTCTGGCCACCTACTCGAGTGTTAACAACTCCGCTCTTGCTCTTCTGATTGAAGTCCTAGTCCAGCTATTCCGGGCAAGTCACTGTCCAGAGAACCCAGTCGCACAAGCTGACGCAGGATGACTCAAACAGATGTTGTTGCCCTCCACACTTCAACCTTCACTCCGCGTCTCTCTCTTCCTCTATTTTTTCTTCTTCCTTGTGTTCGTGTACAAGAGCTGACTCGAATAGGCGATTTCGTCCGGTTGAATTGACTGCATCGACGGGGAGAAACTCACCAGTGGCACCCCAAGGGCCAATATATCTATTAAGGTTGTCAGTCATGCCACAGCAGAATATTGAATGATCAATTGACCGGGAGGTGACGCAGCTTCGTGTAGAAGCACAAAGGAGAAAAGCCGCATCGTGTTCCAATCAGTTGACTTCGCACGGGGTTGTCTTACTGCCCGTATTTGCCCAGAGGCACGTCACCGCCTCCTTGCAAAGCCTGACTTGGTCTCATTGTGTTCGTTCGGGTGACTTAACGGGTGCAAGTCAATGGCAGTAGTTGTCGGGAGGCTGACGAGGAAACAATCGGGTGATGATCGAAATCCTGAGAGGATATTGCCGAACGGAGCCTCGAACAGGTTTAAAGCCCCTTTAGTTGCATACTTTGCTGTCTATTCAAGCTTACGTAAGTCGGTATTCGAAAATGAGAAGAACCCCGTGTTCCGGGTGGGGAGCATCATCATTTTGGTGCTTAAGCTTCAGATCATACACTATCAGACTTCAACCTGGTGTCGCCCGGAAACCGCACCCCTGATCAACGACAAGAAAACATGGCACAATCACTGGGCTTCATCTACCGCATGGCCATCCCGGCCGCGGTTGCCTTCCCTCTCATCTCATCATCCATCTACGACGTTCGCGGAGGGTCGAGAGCAGTCATCTTCGACCGGTTGAAGGGTGTCAAAGAGGAGGTCGTTGGCGAAGGGACGCACTTTCTGGTTCCCTGGCTGCAAAAGAGCATCGTTTTTGATGTGCGGACAAAGCCCAGGAGTATCGCCACCATGACGGGCAGTAAGGATTTGCAGATGGTCAGCTTGACCCTACGAGTCCTGCACCGCCCTGAAGTCAAGGCCCTGCCCAAGATCTACCAAGTACGTGCCGTCCCAATTGTAACCCATCCAATGCGACATATTCTCCTTCGTGTTTAAGGTAGGTCGGTGAAACGAGCCAGCTGACTCGAGCCCCCCCCCAACAGAACCTCGGCGCCGACTACGACGAGCGCGTCCTCCCTTCCATCGGCAACGAAGTCCTCAAGGCAATCGTAGCGCAGTTCGACGCCGCCGAACTCATCACACAGCGAGAGGCCGTTTCCAATCGAATCCGCCACGACCTGACCCGCCGCGCGGCCGAGTTCAACATCGCCCTCGAGGACGTGTCCATCACCCACATGACATTCGGCAAGGAGTTCACCAAGGCCGTCGAGCAGAAGCAGATCGCCCAACAGGATGCCGAGCGTGCCCGCTTCATTGTCGAGAAGGCCGAGCAGGAGCGTCAGGCCAACGTCATCCGTGCCGAGGGTGAGGCCGAGAGCGCTGAATTCATCGGCAAGGCCATCGCCAAGGCTGGTGACGGCCTTATCCAGATTCGTAAGATCGAAGCCAGCCGGGACATCGCTCAGACGCTGTCCGCCAACCCCAACGTCGTCTACCTTCCCGGGGGGAATGGTGGGAACCAGATGCTGCTGAACGTTGGACGGCCATAATTTGGGGCAGGGGAGGACCTCGACAAAATGAAGTGTATCATTAAGGTAGTGGTAGTGGACAGGATGGAAAGAAAATCGTACGCCAGACACCACTTCAATATATGTAATTTTATGCATACTTTTGTGAACACGAGCCAGTCAGTACTTTGATGACAGTGAGCATAGTCTGCCTGCGGATTCTGCGTCGCATGCGCGTCCATTTGCCTGCTGGCGATGAAAGTTTGGTTCACGGGGATACTCTCCATTCGGTCCATCTTTCTTTGAGGGACATTGGAGACTCCATATATGACACATACCAGACATTCAAATGACACACTCAGACACGATGGAGAACACTTATGGTGGAGATGTAGGTTGGTTTTCAGACAGACCATTGCATAGGCAGAGATTCCCAGAAACTCAAGACCGTTATGATTCCTCTAAATCCCAGCGAGACCTATATAACCCAAATAGCTAGTCGGACTGATCGCTATTTACCGACTTGGTCGACCCAGTCAGTGCCTCCAAGAATTCCCTATCCCGCTTATCAGCCTTAGGCTTGCACTCTTTGCCGGACGGATATCAGCAGGGGGGGATGAAAGCCCCTATCGATGCGTCCAACTTCCAGCCTCTCCGCTGCATGTTTTGCCATTCCTCCATAATTTTGAGATGTACCAATTCGCCGGCTGCTCGCGCATCCTCTGCCGAGTCATGACCAAGAGTCTTGCTGCCAGTCTCGACTTGGATTTTGCGGTCGAGGCGCTCCTGCATCAGCCGTTTCAGTCCGTATCTGAAGGGAAGACCGGCCTTGTGCGGATGTAAAAGGACCGTATCAATGAGAGTTGGGTGGATAATTCGAACAGCGTTGAGATCATTCTCCAGACCGTGCCCAATGAGCGGGGTTTCGGGGCTGATCAACGAGAAGAGGAGATCACGCGCAGCTTCGGGAGAAGGGACGATTTTCATCCTCTTGGGCCCGTCCTTGGATTCACAGTTGGGAACCTCCTTGTTGTTCCACATCTCCGCCTGGGCCATGTCATCCGGCCAGACTCCCGAGAAACGAGAGTTAAGGTCAAGAATCTCGCCGCGGGGCATCACCAAGACGTCCAGCATCGTTGCACCTGTTGGCCAGGCAGTGGCGGTGAGCCGGACCAGTTCAAGGCCGTAGGTGGTGTAGCACATCTCGCAGTCGAAGCACACGGCTCGGTCAGCTGGCACCGAAGGATTGGCCGGCGTTTCGGCGTAATTGAGAATGGAGGCCAGGCGCTTCGGGTCAGTTACCTTGAAGACGTGATGGGGCGCTTCGGCGCATCCAGCTGAGTCTCCGATTTCTTGACCGCAGCAAAGGTAACGCTTTGCCTTTTTGGACTTATCGCCTGCCTGGCGTTCGGGGAAGTAGGTCTTGCCGTGGTGGAACGTGCAAGCACCTCCCGAAGTGAGCGAGCCATCCTCGCTGCGACCTGGGAAAACTTGGAAGCGCCGGTCACATCGGTCACACTTCTCCCAACCCTGGGCAGCTTCCATACCATCGCGAGCCTTGGCTATCTCGGCAGCAGTGGGTAGGGTCGGGACGTAGCCATGGGCTGCCAGGCCATCAACGGAGGTAAGAAGTCGACGTAGTAACAGCACTTCCTGGGCTGGCTGCAAGCCCGTGACGACTTTCTTAGGTGTGTCGGCGGGGTCCTGCTCGGGCCGTTTCTTAGTATCGCGGCATCGCCGGTCCAGAGTGCGGCGTTCCTCCTTCCATTGCTGGACATTCATGCGCTTCAACTTCATAATGGCGTTTCTCAGGCTTTGGCTATAAATGGTGGGCTTCGTGACAGCCGCGGCTTCCTCCTGGTCCAGGGCCTCCCATATGAGCTCCTGGTCGGAAAGAACGAGGTCAGTATCGGCGTCCTTGGCAGTCTTTTTCAGTTCGGTGTTGAGCCGCTTGAGCTCGCTGTGTAGAAGTTTTAAAAGTCTGATCCGCGTTTCATGGCTCGCCGGTGCCGACTTGAGATGGCGAGGGTTGAGCGATTCTACCTTCCTGGGTTTAGGAGATGAAGATGCGGAAGGACCAGAAGCGGTACCAGTAGAAGGGGAGGGCCCGGCTGGGGGGTTCTTCTTAGTTCTTGCCGGTGTAGGGGATGGTGTAGAGGTAGGCGCAGAGTCCAAGCCTGACGCGCGTAGCTTCCCACCCGAGGGAGGTTTGTTTGAAGAAGTGGACGACAGTGTACGGCGATGAGGAGTCAACTTTGGCTGTGTTGTGGTGGCATTCTTCTCCTTCGCTCCATTCGCCGCAGGCAGCCGATCCAAAGTCGAGGAAATACGTCGACCTAATGCTGGCGGGGAAATAGGCCTAGTGAGGCTCGAAGGCTTCGTGCTCTGGGCCGTAGCTGGGACAGTGGGTGCCACTGAAGCCGTCGTCGGAGGTCTCGAGATTCGTTCTTCAGATCCTGCCGTCGCTAATGCCTGGTCTATCTTCTGTCGTTTCCTAGGGCCTCCTTGAGACGAGGTCGGGTCGTCGTCGTCCTCACTCGGGGCCGAATGAGGTCGGGAGGCTGTGGTTGACGGCTTCGTAGTGACAGTCGATGAAGATCTTGTACCAGCGATGATCCCCGAGCCATTGTTATTGCCGTGTCCGAATAGACATTGAAAGGCGGCGCACTTATTTCCAGCTGGACACGGGATGTGTTTGAAGCTCAGGAAGGACGACATTCTGCGTCGTTGATTCTTCCGGGATAGTGGAAGACCGATGAGAGTTCAAAAGTGAATAGCAAGACTGAGATGAGAGGGTTTGATGGACTCAAATTGGTATAAATGCAATGATACCGGGGACAGGGACGCAAGGGTAGAACCGAACTGAACAAAGCAGCTTTGACGGCAGAAGTAACCCAGTAGCCACTCCCTGGATAATTGGGAACAAAGCTGTGCTGCGCGGAGAAGTAGAGGGCGAGCGTGTATAAATAAAGCTTTGCTTAGTGGCCCGTTATGGCACAATATGAGGATGGACCAGGCCTATTCAAGGCCTGGCTCATAGGTGGCTTGGTGGCTAGTGGGTAGAGTTCTGGAACTACTCCGGAGGGTTTGCTATTTTGTTGAAATAGGCCAGACGGTTTCACCAGACTCTGGGGTTCCTGTTTTATTTGATCGCTTCATTGGCACTGGGACAGGTGCCTTTGTGAACGGTTGGGGGGGGGGGGTGTCATGATCTTGCTTTACATAGAGCGAGATGGGATGAAGTCAGAGGCTTCGACATGGTTACCATGCTGATTACTAAGTAAACCGGATGCGTGGTCTGTGCGTTTTATTTCCGTGTGTGGACGAAGTAGGTACTTCGGAAAGACTCGACTGGTCACCTCCTCTTTGTGAAGAACTTCGTACGCCTCTGTGCCTCGTAGAACTTAGAACTAAGGTAGGATCGAGTATCGGTACTCCGTAAGGAGATTCACGTATAAACGTACGAAATAACACAGTCAGTCATGTGTCAATATCGTCCGGGAGTGCTCTTCGTGACTTCATATCAAGACGGTTAGGTTAGTCTCCCAAATTCACTGAAAGAGGGTTCTAGCCTTTACCAATATGAGCACTCAGTTTCCAAAATTAAGACCCAGTTGGCTTTAGAGGTAGATTCAATTTACGATAAGCCTGGCGGACAAAGAGACGAGGAGGCTGTTTCATAGATGAGAGTGTGTGTGGTGGATCTCTTCGAAAGGTCGATGGACTTGCGTTTTACCGAAGACGGGCTGGCTGCGTGGAAACCTTTCTCATTGAACAGCCGTTTACCAGTATAATATCAACGGGTCTGTCTTCTTACCCCTCGCCCGCCGCGTAGATCGCCGTTTTGGATAGTCATCGGTCCGTCAAGGCGGATACGAGGCATGTGCGGGTTGAGGGAGGAGGTGGGAGAGGCTCTTATCAATACCTCCTTACCTTAGCTTTCTCCGTACACTATCGTACCTAGCCATTTTAGGTAGTGTCCTGCAGGGGCATTGTCTGGAGCGCTACGAATGTGCAGATAGCTTATATCATTTCCACTAGGAAATACTACGTCATTGGACGCAGCACTTCAGGCCTGCTTTGTGACACGGCATAGCTGCTGCTTGTAACTCCATTCAACGGGACGTAAACAACATTGATTCTATGTCCGTCCTTCGTTTTCCGTACATCGTACGAAGTATAGTCGCACTTGAATAGATAGGACCTTTCCCCCCGTCTTTCGTTGGGCCTCGCTCTCGATACCGGGAAGACTTGCCTAACACCGCTTTTGCCAAGCCGCTGCTCACCTCACCTCACTTGGATCTGTATCACTAATACTTCGTAGTCTCACTGTATTCAGTGCTCCGTGTATTTTTTTAACCGCTATTATTTTCCTGTAAGCCGAGTGCCAACTCTTCTTTTGGCCAGAGGAGGTAGTACCGATCAGCTAGATCCCGATGACTAGACGCAACACTGCAATCAAGAAGGAAGAACTTCGAAAAGGGGACCTACATAGGAGGGCAACGGCGGAAGGTTAGAGAGTGCTACAAAGCGTGCTCGCACGAGACGTCAGCTTCGAATGTTTTCCTCTATATTCTGCATGAGATTGTTCTGCGGCCTTGCCTTTCCTCTTTTCTCTACATGTACCTTCTTCTTCTTCTTCTTCTTCTTCTCCTCCTCCTCCCCCCCCTCCTCCTCTAGCCTTCCTGCACCCTTCATCTCTTCCTCCCTTTCTTATTGCTTCTGAAGAGTACCGATTTTCATTGTTCAGCTTGTAGCTTTTCGAGAGCTTACTTGGCCTTCCTTTCAACTTCGAATGACGGCTTACGAATCCGTACCTTTACAACAGTCGGTGTGAGCAAAGCGACTGCGTCGGGACTCTGAGAGAGAGAGAGGGCGGCTCAAATTCTGTATGAAGTACAAATCATTATTACCGAGTAAAGGTACTACTTTACGGAAAGGCTATCTGAAGAGCCTCACACGTGCCATCGCTCCACCTGGCATACGAGCACACGAGCACACGAGCACACGTCAGTGGCATGACCGATCCAGACGCACTGAAGCATTAGCAGGGGGTCCCAGTCACCCGGTGGTGAGGTTGCACGAAGTACCGGTACCGCCCCCAGCTCTGTACAGTAAGGTACCTTACTTCGGAAATGGGAGATTGGTACAGGCACTGAGAGCACCAACTCCACCCACCGAGTCCCGAGGTGCCTAGCTTGTTTGTACCTTACGCTACGTACCCACCGCCACGCCGTTCGACTTCGGCGACGGACACTACCTACCTTACCTACCTTACCCTTACCATATCAGCAGAGCAGTTGGTTCGAGGGAGAAAGTTGGTGCTGCGTATCGGATAAGTGCGCAACACTTCTTTCCTCTTCAATCAATCTGCTCTTCTGACCCTCTCGAACCCCCCTCGCCTACAAACTTGCTTCCGTTTTCCATTCGCTCCATTGACCGGTCCCTGATCTCATCCAAGTATTCGTTGGCAATGGATTACACCGGTGGCTCCGCAGAAGCCGAGCATCTCTGCGTCTTAGTCCACGGGGTTCGTGCTTGAGAAAGCAAATCGCTTTTCTTCTTTTCTTTCCGCTCACGACAACTCTAGCTAACTATAGTTCTTTTTTCCCGTAGCTTTGGGGTAATCCCAACCACATGGTTAGCATCGCCAAAAGCTTACGGTCCCAGTACCCAGCCGATAAGCTCTATCTCCTCCTCGCCAAGCGCAACAGCGGCAGCTTCACCTATGACGGCATCGAACGTGGAGGCGAGCGCGTCTGCTCCGAAATCGAAGAAGAACTGCGTCTCATCAAGGCACGCGGCGGCAACATCACCAAACTCAGCATTGTCGGTTACTCTCTCGGTGGTCTCGTTGCACGTTATGCCGTCGGCCTTCTCTACGCCAAGGGTATCCTCGACAGACTCGAGTGCATGGTAATGAGGAATCTCTTTGTCTAATGCCATGCGCCCGCTGTTTAGTCTACGTATGTGCAAGACGCGCTGACCTTTCGGACGTCCTGACGTGTAGAACTTCACCACTTTCGCTACCCCCCATCTCGGTGTCCGAACTCCACTCCGGGGATGGCACAACCACATCTGGAACGTCCTCGGAGCCCGGACGCTCTCGGCTTCGGGCCAACAGCTCTTCACCATTGACAAGTTCCGCAATACCGGTCAACCCCTCCTCGCAGTCCTAGCTGATCCCAATTCTATCTTCATGTCAGGTCTGCGGAAGTTCCGCCGCCACACGCTCTACTCCAACATTGTCAACGATCGGAGCGCCGTGTATTACACCACGTGCATCTCGAAGACCGACCCTTATACTAACCTCGACGAGACCTCCGTCGCCTACCTCCCGGGCTATGAGGATGTCATCCTCGACCCAAACACCCCTGTCCGGCCCCGGCCAAAGCCCTCGCGCCAGGCGAGCTTCGCTTCCGTCTCCGCCGCCGGCGTGACGTGGCTCCGCCGCATTCCCTTCCTCCTCACCGTTGCCGTCCTAGTCCCCGTCGGCATACTCTTTTTCCTGGTGAACTCGTTCATCCAAAACTTCCGCTCCTCGCAGCGCATCCGCCTCCACGAGAAGGGCCTCGCCGGCGTCAGCATTGGCGACTACCGCGGCTTCCCGCTCTGGATCAACGAGATCCGAACGGAGATGGAGCAAGCCTACGAGGCGCTGAACAACGCCCAGGACCAGGCTTACCTCGCCAACGAGACGGACGAGGACGACGACAAGCCTGGAAGCGAGGGGGACGAAAACGGTGCCGATGGCGATTGCGATACCATGGATGAGGCGTCCAGGAAACTCCTTGCCCACGAACGCCGCATGTCGGTTCCGGCCCAGCCTACCCTCGCTCTGGCTCCTTACCAGTTCCGCATGGTCCAATCCCTGGACAGCTTGGGTTGGCGTAAGTACCCCGTTTGGATTCACCAAGACCGCCACAGCCACGCCGCAATGATTGTCCGATGGGAGAAAAAGACATTTGCGGAGGGGAAGGTCGTCTTGCGCCACTGGCTGAACGAGGAGTTCATCGTGTACTAGTAGCCTGCCCCCGTCACTCTGTGATCGAGGTGGGCGGAAACACGGTTCTGGCTAAACAAGGTGCTCATTTATGCTGTAGGTTTCTCAGGGCGTCGGCGTGTATGTAGTTTTCGTTATCCTTTACTGCTTACTTGTTTCCAGTAATATAAATATAGAATGGGTAGACCAAAAGCGAGACCATTTTCATGAATCACCGCTCCAAGGTATCAGTGAACTGGGAAATCTTCCTAATCGAAACAATATGACACCGACAGCCTCGGTGACTTGGATCGATGAACAAGTTAACAAAAAGGAGGTCTCAAGGAGCAGACACACTACGAATTCTTGGATGACTGGGTAAGATAGGAAGCGATCTAAAGCTCGGGCTCCATATCCAGTCCCTACGTAGGTAGTTTATGTGGTGAGTCTTTATCGCACGCATTCTTGAAGCCTTTACCAGGCCACGACATGGACCGAACTAAGTGGTGACTGTAACCATGGCGGAAACGCTGAAAGAAATCGTCCTTTACTTACCAGCCACCGGGACGGGACGAAGGAATGAGATGTTCGTGGTCTCCATAATCGACATTGAAGGCACGCCGCCAATTCAGGTGAGACAGACCGAGATGACCGGGTCTGAGTGCAACTAATTGGTCAGTAGCAGTTCCATGTGCGGACGCCTCCATAGGTAGGTAGGTAGGTAGGTATCTGAGATGAGTACCTGGGATGAAGAGCAGAGAGTGATTAGCGGAGGAGGTTCAACATGACGGCAACTGGTCGATACCTTACATTACGTACCTTACCAGGTACCTTATACCAGTTGGAAACACCAACTCCCTTAGGTAAGGTATTCATACAGAGGCTGGATATTCCGACTATAGTTCTGACATAGACCATAGATTATATATTTCGAAATACCACGTATACTCTACTATATACGATCGTTGATTACTCTAATAGCTTTTCTGATATTTTTAATATTAGATTAATTTAATGTCGCGAATTAATTATAGGAAGTAGTTAATAGAATTTTAGTAACTTAGCTTAAGACCGGCGGTTTATTCTTTACTGCTAATTATAGTCTCTTTACAAAATCCAGCTCCTTATATCTTAACGGGTAGTATAGTAAGGAACGTAACTAGATACTAGATTTTAATTAGTTTAAAATATAGGTCCGAGGAGAACTATAGTCGTAATATCCAGCCTTTATATTTAATATACTTATTCGCTACGGGGCGTTATATATCTTTAAGCTTTATAAGAGGATACTATTTTAATTAACCTGATAATAAAACAGTGTATATTATAAGAGTCAGGATATATTACGACTACCTTCTTCCCGTATTTTCTAGTTATTCTCTAGCCTCACGCTAAAATAGGTTAAAGCTTCTATTATTCTTTAGAGTTATAGAAAATTCTATATAAAAGTATATGATATATTAATAGTATCTTTAGTATTACTAAGAAACTTTAAAAATAATAAACTTAGATTATAGATATAGCTCTAATTTCTATCTAGACTCCTACTTAGGTCCTTAGCTACTAGCTAGAAACTACTATATAGGGGGTTAAGAGTTAAAGTAATATCCCCTTCTTTAGGGAGAGGACTAGCGATTATTCTAATTCTTTAAGAACTATCTAGGTTTATACTAGTTATAACTATCGCTTAATTCACGCCTATTCCTTATTCGATCCTTTTATTATTACCCTTCCCTCCTTATAGCTATTAAATAGGTAGTCGCAAAGAGTAAAAAGGTAGGGTCAAGCAAGGAACCAGGTGTAATCATAATAGGATCATAATAGAGTCAGAACGTGGGTATAGCCAAAGAATTAGATTAATCGCTAGCCTCCCTCTTTTAAGGGGAAGCTCCCTCGCTCCTTAAGGCTACGCTCTACTATCGCACGTCAAATAGGCACTTGAATAATCAACTTAGTAGAGCAGAAATCTCGTGTGTGTGTATTATATCCAGCTATATCTGGGGGAGTCTTTTATGCCCTTAATTTAGGTGGTGAAGACTCTATTATAGGTACTAAGTTATTTGGATCCCCTATCCGGTCTTTTCCGGTATCCGCCCCTGTTATATCCGAAGCCCTTAGTTATAGCGTGGATCCCCCCTGGATCTTCTATAGACCACGTCGTGGTCCGTTTGTCTATACGATACACCCCCTTAGTTAAGGTGGGTCTTCTCAGGTTAACTAACTAATTAGAGGCTTTGGTTTAAACCAAACGCTCTTAACTTTTCCATCGTAAAATCAACAGTCAGGGGAAAACGCCCTCGTACAAGGGATCTAAATCCGCCCTATTTAACCGTTTAATTTAATTCTATCTTAATTAGTTCCTTGATCCTAATTAGCCGGATCTGCTTAATCTATATCTATCGGATCTGCTATGCCCTCGGGGGCCTTCATGGTCGCTACGGCCGTGGCTTTAGGGTATTTAATCTCTTCGTGTAGTCGTTTAGACCACTTAATACGATCCTTTTAATTAGTTAAATTAAGCTATTACTATAGTCTTTTAATCCCCGCCTCCGGTAGTGTCTTCGTTAAACCGTCCGCGATTATCTCCTTCGTGTTAACGTACGTAATCTTAAAGAGGCCCTGCTATCTAACTAATATACCTACTAATTATAAATATCAATATACCGTAGCCTTATTCGCAGGCGTTATACCTTCTTATTAACGAGGTTAATAGTCTGCTAATTATCGTAGTCTAGCTATAGTTACTATTAGTCTAATAAAAGCTCTAAATCCCTTAATATCCGGCTAATGAATAACGTCTCTTTAGCGGCCTCTATAAGAGCGAGCAGTTCCGATTCTATTAAAAACGTTTTAACCGTTGGTTACTTACCTGCCTTCTAGTTAACGGTTCCCCCGAAGAGCTTTATCGTATATCCTTATAAACTCTTCCGGTCTAGGTTATCCCTAAAGGACGTGTCGCTTACTATTAGGAAGAGTCTATCCCCGCCGAATTCTAGGCAGTAATGCTTCGTATAGTATAAGAATAGCAGCACTTATTAAGCCCTCTTAAGGTGGTTAGAGGAGGGGTTAACGTTATATTAGGAAAGCTTCGAATAGGCGAACGCGATATCGGGTCTTATTATGATAGCGGAGTATAGGATAGAACCGATTATTCCCTGATACTAACGGACCTCGGGAATCGTCGCGCGCGTGCCGTTACGTGGTATTAGTGGTTCTATCGTTAATAATAGGACCTTTAGTGGTTTTCGGCAGAGGATATCTACGTAGTATTTAACCGCGATCTTCTCCACGTAGGAGAATTATAATAGCTATAGCCTACGGGTGGCTCTATCTCTTAGGACCTTAATTCCTAGGAACTAGCGGATTTCCTCGCCTCCCGATAACCTATAGCTCCGCTTAAGGGTAGTCTCGAGGTCGTCGGCGTCTATCTTACGATCTCTATAGTAAATAAGTCCGATATCGTTAATATAGAAGAATAGGATAAAACCGTCGCGGATTATAATTTAGGAGTTATTAGGGACGGCTATAAAGCCTATCCTTTATAGCGTGCCGCTAAATTCCTCTTACTATAGTAGTAGCGATACCCTTAAACCGAAGAGGGCTTTCTATAGTAGTAGTACCTTACCTAGCACTTTATAGCCTTATAGTATCTTTATAAACACCTTTTCTTTAAGGCTAGCGTTAACGAACGCGTTAACAGTATCGAACTGCCTTATTTCTAGATTAAATCGGGCGGCGATCGTTATTAGTATACGAAAGGACCGCGAGGCTAGCGTGGCGGCGTAGTTATCTTTAGTCTCTAACCGTTTTTATTAATCCACTTATACTATAAGGCGTGCTTTATACTTAAGGAGGGTACCCTCTTTATTAAATTTATTGGTGTATACCTATCTATAGACGAGGACTTATTACTTATTAGCCTAATTACCACCCACCTCCTACTAGCAGCCTATCTATCGGTACCCCTTAAGGTATTCTCCCTCGGCCTATAACCACCGCTCCCGTAACAGGTGGAGGCATATATCGCGGTGGTACTTTAGTAGAGGCGGGAGATCCTCGCGGGTTATATACGATAGCGGCTAATAGGTATTAGAGGGAGTAGAATCTATATCACTGATATCGCCGTCGTTAATAGCTTACTTCTTTCTACGTATAGAGTTATAAGTCCTTTTAGCGTTAAAAAACGCCTTTTAGGCGTTATCGTTCTAGACCTTCTCGGTCGTGTATAGACTTACGATAGTTCTCGCGATAGCCGACGGGCACCCCCTAAGGGTATCTATAGCTATCCGTTAGTAGTTATCGTATTCTTCCACCTTAATTCCCCTAACCACCGCTAACGCTATAAGGAACGCGCGCGCGGGATCTTCCGGGGATATTAGAGGCGTAGGAAACGGTTTAAACCTCGTAGTAATAAACCATAAAGTGTCCGTAGTAATAACAGTAGCCTCTCCTGTAGTAATAGCGGTAGCGTTAGAGTTATAAGGTTCTAAATCTATAGCCTAGTTATTAGGCTATAGATTTAAAACCTTGTCTATAGTAATAGTAGTAGCCTCTCTTATAATAATAGCGATAGCCTCGCCTTTATCCGTAGTAATAACGGTAGCGTCGCCTTTACCCGTAGTAATAGCGGTGGTATAGTTTTCTCCTATAGTAATAGTAGTGTCCGTAGTAATAACGGTATAGTCTATAGTAATAGTAGTAGCCTCTCTTGTAGTAATAGCGACGGCCTCGCCTTCGTCTATAGTAATAGAGGTAGCGTCGCCTTTACCCGTAGTAATAGCGGTAGCGTTAGAGTCTTCCGACTTAAGATCTAATACGTCTACGGCTATACCCCTTAATAGTAGTCTATTCGCGGTCTTATTAGATTAGGTGATACGGATAGATTATAGGCGTTCCCCGATTTCCTCGGCGGAAGCCGTGGCTTATAGCGTTTTAATCCTACTATTAAATATCTTATATTCGTTAAAGACTATATCTCTTCTATTGATAATATCCGTTAGGTGTGGTAGCTAAATACCGAAGCTATTCGAGGATTAGTATCCGATATAATAACCGATCTATACCTTCGGTTCTAGCCTTTATAGGTAGTTCCTTTTAGCTTAGGCATCGCGCGTTTTTATAAAGGCTTTATAGCCGTATACTCGTAGGTGCGTAAGGTTAGGTTAACGGCCGTGTAGGCCTTCGTATAGTATCTTCTAGTCGTTAATATATCGTAGCGT